TCAAGTATTATCTATTCTTAAAATGTTTGAAAACCAAACAGTAAATAAAATAAAACATTTGGGGGAGAAACCTGGTTTAGCTCATTTTAAGAATGCTTTGGAACACCAACATGTAGGGACTGGTGTCAATTTAAGAAAGGTGTTCAGAGACAAGTAGCTCCTAACCCTTGTCACCAGTTCTTCATTGATAATTTCAAGGTGATTTCCGCACCTGCTGCCATGCCCTCGGTTATCAGACGGCAAGCTTCCTGAGAAGAGAAGATGCCTCTCTGTACCTCTCGTGTGACCTGGCCCAGTTTCTTGCAGACAGTGCCTATTAAAAAATATTAGATTCCATTTGGAAATAAATATTTATAAATATTCACTTGAGTGTCACCTTTGTGTACAGGGGATGGGATCAGGGGGCCTTCCCTCCTCTTCCTCTTCTCTCTCTCCCAGCCTAGAGTCCTTTTAGTATTACTAGTAAGATCTAATTTCCAATAAGAGCCATTGATGGTGCCTGGGGATCAAGTGGCCAGGGTCATTCAATAATGATTTGTCCCCTTGTCCTCCAAAAACGAACCCAGTGCTTGAGTACAAGCCCATGTCCCTGCTACCACCCATCAGAGCAACGAGCTTCCACGTGGCCAAAGCTCTCCAAGTGTTTTTATTTGGATTTTTCTCCCCAGAAGAAACATGTTTTTCATGCAGTAATCTTAATAAATGCAACTGGGCTCCATTTCTTGGCTTCGAGGTAATGAAAATTAATTACCATACTTTACAAGTAATAGTTTCCACTCACAGCCCTCCTGTAGAAGTAAATATATCATAAATAGTTGCTATTATACCAATGGCTCGTGGATTGGGCAGCCTGTCGTCCATAAATCCTTTTTCAACAGACATGTTATTTCTTTTGGGGGAACAAACAGATTTGTTTTAGATCAGAGAGTCAACTGACAGATGGCCTTTGTAAAAACACACCATTTGTATAAATAAATTATAGTTTTACTATGGTATTCTGCTTTTGTGGATTTCAAAAATCTGTCCCCCCCCATTCTCTAGAATGGGTCTAAATCGTAAAGAGCAATTTTGTTCGGGTGAGAGGCCACATTGCACAGATCTCCCAACACAGATGCTAAGGTCCAGTCTCTGTAGACGCATGCTGCCACTTCCCACCGCAATCGTGGCAAAGAGCTCTGCCTGGAGGTAATGGGTTGATCTCCCGGAGAGCTCTGGCACCAGGCACAGCAAGATCCCAACTGGCACACTCCCCTTAGCTCTGGGTTCTGTTTCCATTAATAATGACATCTCATGCCTTCTCTTCCTAACCACAACTTTGCATCACTGGGGCTGATAATGTATTTCTCTTGAAAACCTGCAACATTTAATTTTCTTTTACAGCGTAGTTCATCATCAGTTAAATGCTAAACATTTGGTTGATTCCTTTAAAATCCCGATCAGCCTTAACTCTGAGCCTACTGCTGTAGAAGTCATGACCCATCTCATAACACACACACACACACACACACACACACCAAATGTTTATAAATTTATAGAGAGATGTATCTACATAGTTACTTATCTACACACACAAAGAGACTCACTTATGTAAATCTCCCTGTCCCAGAACCAAATGGTCAGGGCTTAGCCTTGAAAAGGACATATTTTGTTGCTGTTTTTAAAAACCTGGGCTATTAAGATGTTCCTTTTGTTAAGAGACAGCGATGTTCATTTTAACTAGAGCTACTAACAATAGGCATTGTTGGCATAATAAGGGCCTATGTGTTTCTTTAAAGACATCATTCCCTTTCCTAAGTGATTAAGATCCTAAAGCTGCCAGTTTTGGTGAAGGAAATCAAGTGATTAATTAAACATTAATCAAATGTTCACCACTCAAAATATAACACCGGGGAAGACTTTGCATATTTCTAGCCAATAAAAAATTTTGAGTCAGATTGCCTAGTATTTCTCAGGTTATAGGGTACATTTAAAAGCTGTGTTCGTTTCCTAGAATGGTGGGGTACTTTTTAGCCTGGAGCTTTGCCTGCACTCATAACCTCAGGCCTCCGTGTCGCTATTTCAAGTTATGCCAGTTGGTGCCTTGATGGAATTAATACAGCATCTAGAATTGCCTAACTTACATTCAAAGAAGAGCTTAAACCAATGATTTCCATCTGTTTTTATGACACTCCCAGGGAATCTCAAGTTACTTCAAAGGGGAGCAGAAATTCTCAAATGAAATTAATCTGGATATATAAATCTTAGACACATAATATGCATACACTCACGTAGGCCAGATATAAATATATGCCCACACGAAACAGTCCTTCTGGAAGAGGCGAGGGTCAGGAAATTAATAGGGTCATTGCATACCAACATCTTAGAAGGGTAAAATGACCACAAATTATAATAGGTGTCACGAACTATATTGGAACAAATCATGGAAAATAAACACCCACTCAATTCACAGAATATCATACATTGGGATCATAAGAAAATAAAACTGGGGGGGGCAAAATCAATGAAGCTGTCTTTAAAATAGATGATTTTGTGAACGAATGACTAGTAGACTCCACAGACTATGAATCTAGCTGCATGGCTGGTTCTTTTTTTTTTCCCCCATCTCTAAATCATGCTGCATGACTCCCTATGTGGAGAAGAAATCCATCCTGCACCTCCATAAAATGTTCGCTAGACTCCTTGTCGCTGATGGAGTCAACTCACAGCCAACCCATTTATTCATAATGTTATCTACACACACAGTCGAAGGTTAAGAAAATGTTTTCAGCGCGGTGGTAATCAACCAAACCTGCCGCACCTGGGCTTTTCACTGCCTCCTTGAGTATATGTATCGGGAATCGTCCGGTGACCGATCACAAAATTACTTCACCTGAAGTGAACGCACACGTTCCCTCCCACCAGATTAGCACAGGGATTAAGAACAGGAAACCGCCACTTCCTAACTCCATAACTGGGGGCAAGTTTCACATTCACTCTTTGCCTCAGTTTCTCTGTCCATACGGAGAAGGTAATACTGCCCAACCCACAGTCGTTGTGAGGATTAAATGAGTTAGTAAGGGTAAAAGTACAGTGCACTCTGGAAAAATGCAGGAAGTGCAAACTCTCGTTATTCCTATATATTATTCTCTTTGTCTGAGATTCCTTGAGGTAGGTCAGTGCAGAACTTACAATTACTGATGAATTTCTAATTAGGTTGACCATTTTAAATGGCCAATATTATCGGGTCAAATTTTTGTTCATGTGTCAAATGTCCAATAATAAATACATATAATTTAACTAGATCCGCATATTAGGTTGCTTATTTATCCCCCGTACATCCTCTGAAGTTTGGAGTTGGGGGAAATGGCTTTAGGCTGGGTAACGGTAAGTGAACCAGAGTTTCACCCATGTGGCCTTGACTAAGTCACCTGACCCACCTGAAGATCAGATTTCATCCTATAACATATAGGCAGGTGGCCTCTATGATCCCTTCTATTCAAGGAACAAGAGCCTTATGAAGCTGACACCCCGTTGACTCTCCAAGTTGTGACTACATCATCTATTGGAAGAAAACAACCAGGAGGAAACGGGAGAATGCTGACCAGTAAATTCTTAGACCAGCCTTTCTCAGATAGCACATAACAAAATGCTAGGATGAAATGAGTTACATAAAATGCACATAAAAATGACCAAGTGTACCATTTTTATGGCGAAGTTATAGGGAGAATGTGAATCTAATATATATTGATGAATTATTCAACTATATCTCAGTCAGCCAGGCTGAGTGGGTCACAGGGTAGGAGCATTTTTCAAGCACTCCCAGAAGGCTCCTGAACTCTTTTGAATGTTGGCCTGGAGGTTATTTGTGATCAAGAATGGACACACCAAAAATCTATATAAGAAGGGAGATAGGCACTTCCTCTAGAACAGGAAAATCGAAACCATTTGAGATGCCCCCAAGGGATCATTTGAAACCCTTTAAATATATGTCTCGGGAAAAGAGGACTTTATCCTAACTAGATTTCTGACCTGGAGAGTACCTTCAAAGACAAAGAAGAGTGAGGTCATATACAGAGAGGGTAAAAGAGATAGGAAGAAGAGTGAAGGAAGTCTCCATAAACTGAGACCATTGTGTCCAGGAGAGCTGGAGAAGCCATATGAGATTTCAACAAAGGGAGTTTTATTTATACCTTTCTGATATATGCACGATCTTTTAGGAAGCAGACAGATTTCTCAGCAAAATACTTGTTTAAAAGGCATTCGGTCTAAAGCCCTATCTACTAATTCCATCAACAGCCCCCATGGACTAATGAAAATCCCGAGGGCAGCTGGGCATTTGGGTTCTTTCCCTCTCCAGGGATTGGAGGCTCTCAGTCACTCCCAATGTTTCCCACTACCTAAACATTTACAGGTTTATGGGGGCAGATGTACACAATATTACCAAATGTGAAAGCCTCTGAAAAGCACACATTTGACCAATGCTGGAGACCTGTGTCTTCCTGTGGGTTTCTCTTTTATGAAGAGGTCAAAATTTCGCCTCTCCCAATCCTTTGAGTCATGGGGAGAAACCCGAGGAAGCATGGGTGGCCATAGCAAGTGAACACTTTTCCCTGCAATAAACACATTCCTTTGACTCGCCCCCAGCCACGGAGCCCCCACCACCATCTCCAGTGACAAAGGAGATGGCTTCCAGTAGAAGAGAGCTACTACTAATCCCATGATCACAACTGATATTGTCCACCGCATCCCTAGAAAAATACATTTCCTGGAAACTAACATTTGGTCCTTAAGACAATAGCCCCGCGCCCATCTTAACACCTGCTTCGATATTACAAATTAACACACGGTAAAGCAACCGAATTAAAAATTATGTCCACACACACCGTCTCCCCCACCAAAACATCCATCTGCTAATATTATGCAACGCTGGAATCTAAACTGGTCTGAATTTATAAAAAGCCAACAGGCATGGATACACATTCTCGGTTCTCGTGGCCGTGGCCACTCTAGGCAACAGCCCCAGGAGTAGACACGAACGTTCCTGTTTGGTATTCGTTATTATTTGAGGACACGAGACCATAGAAGGGGGCCGTTTGGGCTTTCCCCTTCTAAGGCTCTCCCCAGAAGGGCCCGATGAACGCCCACGCCGTCTTCTCCCACCAAAGGTGGCTCCTGCTCTCCGGAGCCTCCGGATCCTGACCGTAGCGCTTCTGTTCCCGGCCCTGGGGAAAGCCTCGTCTCCTCGAGTGGCCCTCGGCGCAGCCGGCAGATCCGCCCGCGACGCGGAGGCCGCGCGGTTTCATCATTAATGCTCCTGAAGGACAATAGCTCATCAAGCCCCACCGAAAGCCCCGGACCCGTCGCGGAGCCTGGGCTGGCGGGGGATGAGGCTGAGCGACTCCTCCTAGAGGTGGTTATGTGGAGAAGGAGCAATCCCTTCTCCCTCCTCCTCCTCCCCCCGCTACTATCCGCGGCCCGGAGAACTGCCGCTTGCCGCCATTGACAAGCACCGATAGAACCCAAAGAAAGGCAAAGAGTCCTGCCGGGCACCGGCGCCGCGCGGGCCGAACCTGCGCCCCGGGAGCGGCGCGCCGAGGGCACCGGGCGCCCGGAGCAGGCGGCGCAGCACCAGGTGAGCCAGCCATGGCGATGGCATTATTGTTCAGGGGGCTCCGGGGTCTGGAGACAAAACGCGCCGCGGGGGCAGCGCAGGGGCCGGAGAGAACCCCTGCATCTCCTGCCGTCCGGCCCCTGCGGGCGCACCCCGATAGCCGACCCTCCCCGCCAAAGAAAAGAGAGAAGAATTAATAAATCAAGCTGCCCAACTTGCTTCCTCGCGAAATAAAGGCGGGGGGGTGGCGGGGGTGCGAAAGAAGCGGTAAAATTGCCGCGGCCGGCAAGGAGCGGGGGCATCCTTGGCGAGGTGGGAGGAGGCGGCGGGATGCGGGGTCCAGCGGCGGGCCGCGGCGAGGCCGGCCCGGCAGGGAGCGGAGGGCTCCCGGGATGCGGACTTCGGGGCGCCGGAGCCGAGGAGGGAGGCGCCCGGCCGCCGAGGGGACTGCTCCGGGGCGGTGGGCCGCTCGGGGGGCCTCCGAGGGTGCGGGGCTGGGCGCCGGCCCGCTCGGGGCTGACAATGGAAGGGGCGCGGGGGCGCGGGCCAGAGGGAAGGGGGCCGGGGGCCGCGGGCCGGGGGCGGGCCGCGCCGCGGAAGGTCAGGCCGGGGACGCGGGCGGCGGGGGCGACGCCGGGGGTCGCTGCGCGGTAGCGGGGCGCTGCGAGCTCCGTGAGCCCCATGAGCCTCGGCTGGCGCGGAGGAGGGCTCGGGGCCGGGCACTCCCCTCCGGTTCCCTTTCCGGGGCGCCCGGTGCCGCCGCGCGCTGCGCTTTCCCCGGGAAATGGCGGCCCCTCCGCGGAGCTCGCTCGAGCAGTCCCAGCTTCCCGCTTTGCGCGGGAAAAATACAATAATAATAATATAATAATTAATAGTAATAATAATAATAATAAAAGGGAAAGGGGGATAAAAGTAAAGTGGCCGCGACGAAGGAAAGGGCTGCGGCGGGCGCCAGACGGCGTGCGAGGCGCGTGCGGGGCGCGGCGGGCGGGACCGGCCCTGCCTCCCCGGCTCGCAGCCCGCTCTCCCCAGCACCCGGTGCCAGCCTCGCCCGCCGCCGAAATCGCGCCCGTCGGTGTCCTTCCCCGCCTTGCCTCGTGGGGGCGCCCTCCGCTCCTGCCCTCTTTGTTCCTCCCAACAATGGCCAACAGGCCTTCAGCCCCCAAAGGGCCAAATGCGCCTCTTCTCCAGGAGTTCCCGGGAGCTGATTGCTGCGGCCGCGACCTGGGCCACCGCGAGCTTGATTTCGGCCGGGTCACTGCTGGGGTTTAGTGGCAACGGACCCACGGTGAGCATAAGGGGCCAGAAGAAGCTGGCTGAGAAGCCAAAGCGCGGGTCCCTGTGTGTCTGGGGCAGGGCAGCCCCGACGGAAAAGGGGGTCCCCGCACCCCAGCGGCGCTGGTGACCCCAGGGAATTCCGAACAAGGCCCGCGCCTGCGCCCCCCAGACCTCAGGGGCCCACTCCGCTGGAGGCGGTCAGTCCACCCTAGCAAACGGTTTCCTCGTTTTTCTCATTTGTGTTTGTGTCCAAATACCCCTGTGCCCCCTCCCTGGGCTGCACAGTTGCTACTGAAACGGTTCAATAGGCGAGAGGAATAGAACCGTTATCCAGAGCGAAACGCGCCTCCATTTGTACTGTTTCTTATTTAGCGACACACAATTCTCAGCTCGTTCATATTTAACTGAAAGTTATCTCTTACCCTTTTGGAAAACTCCTTTTTTTTTTTTTTCCAAGTGAGTGTTCAGAACGGCAAGATTTGGAACCACGCTCACGGATTTTTAGAATCGCTTTAGCCCAAGATTATCATACAAATAAATATAGGCTCTGCCTGAAGGAAAAGTTTATCTTGCATCCAGTAATTCACACCTCTAAAACCTCCCTTTCCTGTAACCAAATTGAAAATATATTTATTTCCGGTTCTCTGCTCCAGTTCTGCTAGCCTGTCACAGGTCTTCCTCACCTGGATCCATTTATGGCCATGCTTCGGACATTATGAATGATTTCCTCTATTTCAGAACTCTGTAAAAGAATTTCATTCCTTGGATCTAGAATGTTCCAAAGAGGGACCTTACTCCCTCTCTATCTCATCTTCTGTCTGCTTCCCAGGGATTCTGAGGCTTTTCCCAGTGGGTGGGACACCCTGCTAGCTGTTGTCTGAGACAGGCAGGTCTGCTTTCACTGCCTCCTGCCTGCAGAGCACGAGGGAATCCTGCTTTAGGCAGACAACTTTAAATGAACGATATCTGTAACTTGGCCAGGGGGAAGGATGTACAAAAATCCAACCAAGTTTTTGAAAAAATTTTTTTCGTTCTTAAGAAATAACCTCAAAGATAAATGCTTTTTTGGCACAGGGATGAGCAAAGATTGTGATTGGAGATCACTCCCCAAGCATCTACTGGGACCCAATTATTAAACACCTCTGGTTGGGGGAACCAATGCACATATGTAGAAGTCATGGGCCTTGCTCTGAGAGAGTTCAGGTTCCAAGCCTAGGAGATAAAATATGTATGCAAGTAAGACAAGGTAAAAAATGATTACTCTTGGCAAGCTAAGTGGGAAACCAGTTACTTTCTTACACTGCTAACAGGTGTGTCAACTGGTATAGCCAATTTGGAGGGCACAGTTAAAGTCAAATAACAAGCACACTCTGTGACCCAGCCATTCCATTTCTTGGTCTATATCTTAGGGAAGCAGGCACAGATTATGTAATTCCCTCGCATTGCAGAGTTTTGGCAGTTTTGAAACTGAAAGCAACCTAATGGCCATCATATGGAATGGCTAAAAAGAATCTGGTACATCTATCTTCTGGACAGATCAGGCAGCATTTAAAAAGAATGAAGTAAGCCCATATATACTGAGACAGAAAGGTCACCAAGACATACTAATGAAAAAGGCAGTTGCAGAACAATACATACTGTACGGTACTATTTATGTAAAAAACAAAAACAAAATACTATGTATTCTATAAGTAAAAATGCACATATAAAAAGATAGGAAGGGCATAAAGACACCCACTGAAAGAGACGAGAACTGGAGAAATTGTCAAGGAAGAGTTTAGTCATACAATTATTCATACCCATCTGTAACCATTGTTACAACATTTGGAATTTTACTATTTGAATTAATTTCTGTATTACTTGCATAACTAAATACAATTAAGAAGTTACAAGTGATTGATAATGTGTAATAACAGTCCCAATAAAATGCTACAACAGTTTTTAAAGGGAGAATAGAATTTTAGTCTGGAAGAAGGCTGGGAGTAGGCTTTACAGAGAATGCAGAAGAAGGGGATAGGATCCGAGGCAGGCAGAAGGAAGACTGACCAGACAGAGCTTCTCCTCTTTCTTCAATGTCATCACGTTATCACGTAAATTCCCTTGCGAGGCTGCGGCTGGCCTGCCCTGCCAAGGTTCAGGTGGGTGAGGGAACTAAACCAATAGTTTATACTTGTCTACTCGCTATGTTTCTGTGAATATCTTACATTAGATTTAGATGAGAGAAAAAAAAAATGAACCAGTAGAGGAATTTCTGACAATGATACTGGAAGGTAGTATTTTAAAAAGGAAGATAGTGAAAACTTCAGGATGGGGAAATTTTTTTTCTCGTAGATGCACACAGGGCTATATATGGGGAATTAAATTGGAGGGAAAGATGAGCATTTGAGAGGATAATTCACTTCCCCTCCCCCCAAAAATTCACAAAAGGAACCCCCCAAATGCTTTTGAAACAGATATTTAAGGGGTACCTGGCTCAGCCCTTGGAGCATGCAAATTTTGATTTCAGGGTCATGATTCCAAGTCCCACATTGCAGGTGGAGACTACAGTAAGAAGGAAGGCAGGAAGGAAGGAAGGAAAGACGGGGACATTTAAGGCTGGTTTCCCTTATTCACTCAAGGAATATTTATTGAAGATCAAATGTGTACATAACACTGCCAGGTATAACTGAGTACAGGACAAACAGCCCCAGACCAGGGTTCCAGAAGTGGGGGTGAGGGGCTGGTCATAGCTCTGGTCTCACATGGACTGTGTGGTCATAGACAAGCTGTTTACTGACCCCCGCCCCTCCCCTGTCACACCTTCTGTGGTGGCTAAAAGCAGGAGGGGTGCACTAAAAATGGTCGATCACTCTAGTCCCTTTCAGTCTTAGATCATGACCTTGCGAAATCCTAGGATTCTAACCATGTGGTGACTGATTGTGAATTCCCAGACAGATGGAATTTGGGGGATTGGACTAGGAGGGGCCCCAAGTGCCCCATCTTGGGAAAAATAAAGGTACTCACTGTCTTGAAGTTCTCAGTAGCTTGGGTAGCTCTCAGTGTTTCCCCAGGGTGGAAATTTCATCACCAGCCCTTTACACAAGCTCCTAGGAAGCTGTTGCTGAGCTCCAGCTTCGTGATGTACACAGACCACCCAGCGCTGCAGGATTGTCGTTGTTGCTTTTGAACTAGAGGGGAAATGCCTGCCTGCGCTCCATGAAAATCATCCCCTAGAATTGTTTCTTCTCTGGAAATAAGTCCACAATTGGTAAGGTTTATGAAATGCCTTATTGCCTGCCAGGCACTGTTCCAGACACTTTCTCCATATTCACTCCTTTCATTCTTCCAACAGCGCAATAGGCGGGTACTATTATTAGATCCATCTTATGGGAAAGAAAAGAGAGGTGGAGGATGTGCCCACAGCTGGAGGTAGACTTGGGAGTCGGGTCCAGACACCCTCCCTCTACAACCCACATCCTCCCCTCCATGGGGTGAGAACAAGGGCCTGCGGGCCTCCCTAGGGAGTCTCAGATTAGGTTCGATACGCAGATTTTTACTTTAAAAACTTCTCTGCATCACCATTTTACCTGCCTCTGTCAGATGGAAGATAAAGATTATCCGATTGAGCTACACAACACTGTGCTTTAAACTGTCTTGTCACAAAGTATTAAATAAGATGAATTTGGTGGTTTCGCTGAAGCCCTTGCTGTTCATTTATCCATCCCGCCCTCCATCATACTTCGCCCGATTTATTTGACTGGCGT